GTTCCCAAGTGCATCACAGTTCCACTGGTCAGGACTTGAATTAAGCCGTTGCCATGTCTTTTCGATGCGCCTGTATGCCGGTCAAGATTATCGGCTCCCACGCTCATCGCACACCGCCGCCGCCGCCGCCGCCGCCGAGTGGCTGACTACCGGATTTCGTCATCCGTGTTGACTCTTGGGTGATTTGGCTCGCCGACATTGATGCCGCCGACAGTGCTTATCTGCACGTTCTCCTCAACGCAATCCAATCACACATTCAAGTTTGACGAAGCAGAAATTCCTGCTAGAGACGACAACCGCGTGAGCCGTGAACTGCTCGAGTCATTTTTCCGATCCTCATTCAACCTAAAAGCACAGCGACCCCCCTCACCTTTCGATCCATATTCGACGCTGGGACTTAGTCCAGGCAAAGTAGTTATCCGCCAAGGGAACGTGCACATAACCCCCCCCCCCACCACCAACAACCCCAGCGGTGTGGGCTGGATCCATGCCTGTCCTAATTGCGACCGCACCTTTACCTCAAACATCGACCTGGTCAGTCACCTACGAATCCATCGCACAGAGGCTGGCGGACCAGTGTCGCGAGCGGCACCAACATACACCAGACGCATCCGCCTCCACTGTCCTCACTGCACCCACACATATACCAACCGCATGAGCCTATCAGGCCACATGTGCTTTCAAGAAAACTGGCTGTAGACAACCGCCGCATCACCGTCACATCTTCCACCACCTACATTGCGCAACATTAGTATCCACTGCAACCATCCATTTGCCACCTCCGTCTCCATGCGACTTCTTTGCTGCATGCCTGATTCGTGTCTGAGGCTATTTCGGCCTCCGGTCTTTTTGAATCTGCCTTGACACCTGGTCCAGGTTGGGGGAGGAGGGGGGGGGGGGAGTTAGATGCCTCGCAAGTGTAGTACCACCATAAACTAATTTAGGTGCACGTCACTGTCCCTGCTCTCAGCCTGCTGTGAAGCATACAGTGGACATCGTCGGCCACGACGGCCGAACCGTCAGTTGTGGCACTCTTATTGCTTAAAACTGACTGGCTTATTTAAACCAGACAGTCACTAACATTGTTTCTTTTAAGTTCAGTGTTAAATACACTATGAGAGCGATACCTAACCCGAGACAGTCAGAGGGAGCAGACGTCTCTGACAAAGATGGGTGGGACTGGAACGACCATTCTTACTTCAGTTGCCTTCAACAGCTCACGCATAAGAGACCAGACATTTGGATTCCGAGGAGGCCTAGACACGAGGTTTAAAGCAGGAGTATTATACCTACAGATTCATGCTTTGTCCAGTTCAAGTGACGCTTGCCCTCCTGGCCTAATCACTCCAGCCCAGAACCCGACATTTTGACGACCGTATATGAAGACGTCAGTTGCGGGACACCAGAGAGTGGCCGTAGCGAGACCTGCGAGTGGGTCAGATTGTGGTGGGGTAGGCTTGCACAGCCTCCTCCCACACCCTTTATTTTCTCATCCGGTTTGCTGAGACGACAGGGACGTAATGACCGACAAAGCCAGGCAGCTCTTGAAGAAGGAGACACAATCACCGGGACAAGAGCTTTATTAGCCTGACGTTTCGGATTCCTACTCGAATCCATCATCAGAGACAAAAGAGCAGAAACGGGTGGTTGTTGCACAAGGGGCTGCGGTATTTATAGGATGCAGCAACCATGTACTGGACAGGATAGACTACCTTCAAAAAGCCAAAGGTTTACTGGAGGACCGACAGTTCTATGTCCCATGTGCAACGAACCCTTTAAAGGCGCTGACACGCTAAATTAATGCTACGTTGTTGGCCTTGGAGAACTCAGGTGCAATAACACCGACCGATAGACGCATGGCGAGACCCCAAGATACGGCTTTGGCCCGATTCTATGGCCTCCCTTAGGTGCACAAAGACGGCGCTCCTCTCCGGCCCATCGTCTCGCTCAAAGGGACTCAAACGTACGGACTGGCTAAGTGGCTGTTCCGGCGTCTCAAGTTCCTGACCGCTGAGTCAGACACTACGGTCTCTTCGTCAGCACAATTCCTGGAGAAACTCAAAGGGGTAAGCATCCATCCAAATGAGGTCATGGTATCTTTTTATGTTACATCCCTTTTTACTTCTATTCCCCAGGACCTGGCGGTGGAGACAACTGAACTGCTACTACAAAGCAAATACGATGAAACGGAGAACCGTCTTGGACACGCCCAAATCCTTCACCTCCTGAAGCTCTGTCACAGGACGTACTTCACGTTCGACGGGACAGTCTACGAACAGGTGAAGGGCACACCAATGGGTTCGCCGATTTCGGGATTCATCGTCGAGGCGGTCCTGCAACGGTTAGAGTCGCTGGTCTTCAAACACCACAGACCGAAATTCTGGGCCCGGTATGTGGATGATACCTTCGTCGTCATCGAAGAGGATCAGGTGTTGACATTCCAAGAACTTCTCAACGCCGTCTTCCCGGACATTCAATTTACGATGGAGGAGGAGGAGAACAACCAGCTGGCCTTCCTAGATGTCCTCGTATGCCGCAAAGATTGTGGTGAACTAAAAACCAAA